ATTGGCTCTGATGTCCTCAGATAAAGGATGGACACGTTCTCTTCCCTAGATTTACAAGCAGTTCCCGGGTGAGCCGGCGGCGGAAGTTTCCTATAAAAACCAAATGACCTCTAGGAGTTCCCGGCTCTTTCCAACATGCGTGTCCCTCAGCCAGACGCATGCGCTTCGGACTTTTGACCAACAAAGCGCCACTTTGGAGCTAGAGCTGTTGAAACTAGAGCTAACTGAGGCACAGATATTGAAACTACAACTAACTGGAGCTGGAGCTATTGAAACTAGAGCTAAATGGATGATGAGTGGTGTTTCATGAGTGGTGTGAGATGAGTGGTGTCTGATGACCGGTGTACGATGATGTTGACTGGTGTAAGCACGAAGTGTATGATGAGTGGTGTATGATGAGTGGTGAGTGATAAGTGGTGTATGATGAGTGATGTTTGATGAGTGGTGTATGATGAGTGATGTATGATGAGTGATGTATGATGAGTGATGTATGATGAGTGGTGTATGACGAGTGGTGAGTGATAAGTGGTGTATGACAAGTGATGTTTGATGAGTGGTGTGTGATGAGTGATGTATGATGAGTGGTGTATGATGAGTGGTGTATTGAACAGCTGTTGAATGTCCGTAACTCGGAAGTTTTGCACACTACACTTCCTTTGATGATGTTTTTGGGGAGGAACTCGAAGTTCAATAGCCCCCAAACACTGTACATTTGCAAGAAAGAGAGAGGAAGAAAGAACGAAAGAAACCCAGGAATCAAACAACAGGTGTGCTATCTGTTGTACTCACGACTTGCATCCGCCCATGCTGGCTACTTGCGCAGTGGCTTCCGCAAGCTTCAACGACAGCAGTTTGGCCTTGCGCAGGCAAGTTGGAGTTTACAAGTTTGCTGAAACTGTTCCTGGTAGGATTTTGACGCTGCTCCACTCTCTCCGGTGCGTCTTACAGCTACCAAGCGCCCCGGACACAAGTCAATGAGTCGCGTGTGCCGGTGCGGCTTACAGGTAGCACGCGCCCCGGAGCCTCCGGTCAATCAAATCTGTCATCAAATCTGTCCGGTGCGCCTTACTGCTACCAAGCGCCCCGGACACCAGAAATGAGTCGAGTGTGCCGGTGCGGCTTACAGGTAGCACGCGCCCCGGAGCCTCGGGTCAGTCCAATCTATCCGGTGCGCCTTACGCCCCGGAGCAATCCAGTCAAGCAAGTCTGTCCGGTGCGTCAGAAAACCGATCTACTATCTGTTATACGCACGACTGGCTTCCGAAAAGGCTGGCTAGCGGTGGCTTCCGCAAGCTTGAACGACTGCAGTTTTGGCTTGCGCAGGCAAGTTGGAGTTTACAAGTTTGCTTAAACTGTTCCTAGGAGGATTTTGACACTGCTCAACTCTCTCCGGTGCGTCTTACAGCTACCGAGCGCCCCGGACACAAGTTAAAGAGTCCAGTGTGCCGGTGCGGCTTATAGGTAGCACGCGCCCCGGAGCCATCGAGAGTGAGTGCAACATTTGCACTACGTCTGATCCAATCATACGTCACGAACACACGCACTGCTGGGTTCGATACGTCTCTGCTACATCTGATATTCGGAACAACAAACTCTTAATAGTCTGGGTTTTGAGGCAGTATGTCATGCTACCTTCTTTACGCCAAAGTTGTAATGTCACCTTGGCTTTGGTCAACACCCTTGACTCCACACTAATGCAAACGGGGCACAACCTCACCGAACTGAGCCACCACGTTCACCAAAGCAGAGAAGAGCAACGAATACACTTCTGTGTTCTCCTTATGCGCAATGGCCAGCACCAACTCATTGAACTGCGTCGTGAATCCTTCCTCAGGCTCGCCAGGGTGCGCATGTCTGCCAAAGGTCTTGGACAGAAACCCTGCCGACACAACCACATAGTCTCCTTGAACCATTCTGTACGTTCCATCGGCGCACACTTTCAGCCACTGCCAATTCGCCACTCTCTTTGCAGTCTCTTGCACCAGCTTCGGACACGCAAAGACCAGGCATAATTGCTCATCTATTCTGTGATCCACCAACACCAGCTCGTCAGAGACAACAGCATCTTCCAAAGCCGGAAGCTCCCGCACCAAGCACTGGAAATCAGCCGTCACCCAGTCCTCACGCTTGGCCACGCGGGCATCCTGGCGATGCCGCTTCTTCCAATTGTCAATGTATGTCTTCAACTTTGTCTCCAACTTGTCTGTGACCTCGAGGTCTGGAAACTTCTCTCGCAACATCTCAACCAGCTGCTGCATGCGATAAGAGGTATTCTGTCCCAAGTACTCCTGGATGAACATCTTGTGACCGGCCAAGAGCGAATCCTTGCGCCCTCCGTACACACGATCCATCGTGTGCTTGTCCGCGTCGGTGGCGATCAGCTCCAAGACCTGATGTCACTGCCGTCCGACGCTCTTTCTCTCAGACTTTTCACTCACATTCTGTCGCTTCTGTCTCACCTACATTTCCCGCTGGATTTCTGGACTCTGAACATCTGACCTCTGCTAGTATAACCCCTACAGATGTGTGATACATTGCATCCAAAGAACCTCAGATGTGACATCGTAGGTACCAACCCCTCAGAAGTTGCAGTTCAAGCACGAAGCACAATTCCAGGTGTACCGGTAATGATCCGGACGGTTGTCATGTTGAGATAATCGAATATCGATCAGCTGACCACTCACCTGAGAAGCCCACTTGCGGATCTCCTCCTTCACACCATCTCTATCCAGCGAACTTCTGCTCAAGCTCGCTTTGCATTTCCAGCGTGTGGTCGCAGCGGGCTTCTTCAGGTGCTTCTTCGCACATGGGCGCTTCATACAGCGTGCTGAAAACAGAGGTTTGAAACTGCAACGAAAAGGGTCTTCTTCATTAACACCTGAAAACATGAAGACGTTTGAATGAAAACACTAGTCCGGTTAAATCATGCAAGATGTTTCAGCGTGGGTGTGTTGATTGTGTAGTGAATGTGCACAACCAGGACTGGAAAGTGTTTTGACATCACAATAATCTGTCTCTCAGTGTCTTTGGCGCCAGTGCTAGGTGACTCTGTTCTGGCAGAGCCATCCAAACCAAAACTGCACCACAAACGCAAGTGTTCCTTGCATGTTCATCATTCCAAAAAGTTGGAAAAGTCACAGAGAACACACGTACAAACTCGGTTGTCGATATTCTACAGGATTCTATTCCGTAGTAAGAGTCGTAGTAGTAGAAGCAGCAGCAGCAGCAGTAGTAGTAGTAGTAGTAGTACTGGTAGTAGTAGTAGTAGTAGCAGTAGTGGCAGTAGTAGTAGTAGTGGGATGCACTACTAGTAGTGGTGGTAGTAGTAGTAGTAGTAGCGCTAGCACTAGTAGTAGTGGGAGTAGTCAGCGTCGTAGTAGTAGTAGTAGTAGTACTTATCCGATGTATCATACAGAGGCATCGGTCTTGGGTTTCCCTCATCGGCTTTCAATGTATGCTCCATGGAAGACCTCGGTCTTGGGTTTCCCTCATCGGTTTTCAATGTATGCTCAGTGTAAAACCGACCAACCTAAAGCGTTTGGTGACGACATGTTCGGACAGTGCTCAAAGGTCAAGTGTACAAGCGACCATAATTTCAAGTGCACAAGCGACCCAAATTTCCAGTGTACAAGCGACAGCTCGCCCGGGTGGAGGCCATCGCTACTAGGTTATCTAGGTTGGAGGCCATCGCTACAAGGTTGGTGGAGGCCATCGCCACTAGGTTGGTGGAGGCCATCGCTAC